GCAATTCGTAATTTAAAGTCAGAAAACTGATTAAAGCAGCAAGTGAATTCAAATGTCAAAAATCTTACTCAGATTATTATTAAGAAACTACAAGGTATGAGTAGGACTTACTGAAGCATGGAGTTTTCTATGAGCTTATCATGTATTAGAACATGTGCCATACTTACATTTTCACTCCTTGTTATAGTAACTGTAGAAGGTTGAACTATCATTCTAATATTTACATTACTTAATAAAAAGATTATGTTTGCAAATCTGTACCTCCTATCTACCCCTCCCACCAAAACTCATGGTCCCACACCGATTAGGATGACTTTAGGGCCATCGCATTTCCTGACTCCAGAGAGTGCATTTATACTGAAGTCCCTTTAACTGATGTCCCTGGGTGTGTGAAGCTCCTAATTTTCTGCAACTTTGTTTTATAATCATTAAAGCAATGAAAAGGTAATATATAGGGCAAATAAAGATGATTTAACAGTCTGTCTTGTTTGACTTCCAGGGGCTCTTAGCCTGTTCTGTTTATTCCCGGCATGGTTGGATGCCTTTCTCTCTTCCACTCCTTAGGTATTCTACAGAGTTTTCTTCTTGGTCTCCTGTTCTTTTTGAGTCCTTGACCAACTCACCCAGTTTGCAATCTTTAATGGTGACTTTATCTTCCATTCCTGTAAGAATGCTAAGTGTGCTAATCTTCATTTTCAGAGCTGTCTTTTCAACGTGATTGAGTGGAAAAATCCAAATAGTTCATCATATTTTGACCCAAATAAACAAGGTAATAAGAAATCAAATGGTGCCAGAATTGTCTATAGTTATTTTTACATAGCCAAATACCCTAGATCAGATGCACTTGTAAACTTATCTTTGCTTAGTTACATGAATCCAAATAAAATAATGACATAGTTATTCATAGAGAGGTAGAATACAACACGTAGTTTTGTGTTGAATGTGTATAAATGATTTTTGCTATAAATGTCATATAAAAGGTTGTAACACAAAGTCCTAATGTTTAATTAATCCATATATCTATCAGTAGATAGATCTTAATTAGCTTTTCATAGATGTATAGTGTCTCTGACATCAAATATGTGTCATTTTTCTGTACCAATTCTCCAGTTCTCTGATTTTCCAGTACCAACCGGGCACCCAGCAAATTCTGACACCACAAGCTCCAGAGGTTAGGGGCTCCATCTCATAAGACTATCCCCACTTCAAACACCAGGTAAAAATGGAGTGCCGAGGCTACCTACACTTCTTCCCAGCTGACTACAAGTCAGGAGATCGCATGACCCCCTCCTCACATTCAGTAATTCACTAAAACAGCTCACAGAACTCAGAAAACTACTATAGTAACATGCTTCATAATGGTGTTTTGTTTAATAGCAGGTCACATACACCATATTGGGCCCATAATGATATAATATCACATTTTTACTGTACCTTTTCTGTTTAGATATGTTTAGTTACACAAATACTTACCATTATGTTACAGTTGCTTACAGTATTCAATACAGCAGCATGCTGTTCAGATTTATGACCCAGGAGCAATAGGCCATTTACATACCATACAGCTTAGGTGTGTAATCAGCTCCAACTAGTTTTATGTAAGTACACTCTGATATTTATACACTGATGAAATTGCCTAACAACAAATTTCTCAGCATATATTCTTGTCATTAAGCGGCAAGTGACTATATATTTACCATTACAATTTATTATAAATAATATAAATGAATGATCAGATGAAGAGGTACATAGGACAAGGTCCAGAAGCGTCCACAGCACAAGAGCCTCTTCCCTGTGGAGTCGAGTGTGCCACCTTCCTGACATGTGAATATGTTCAATAATTCAGAAGCCCTCCAAGTTCCACAATTTAATGAATTCTATGGAGGTTTTATTACCTAGACATGATTAATGAAATCATGGGCCATTGATGATTGAACTCATTCTCCAGCCACTCACCTCCCTGGAGTTAGGAAGGCAAAGCTGAAAGTTCTAACTATAATCACCTGGTTAGTTTTTCTTATGACCAGCCCTCATTCTCACCATGAGTCACCTCATTAGCATACAAAAGAGAATAAATTCCAACGGTTTTAGAACTCCGTAACAGGAACCAATAACAGAAAACATTTATTTCTATTATATACAATCAGAAATGAAAATTTTCATCTATAGATTCAATACAAATCCAATCAAAACCCCAATAAGTTATTTTGCAGATATCAACTGATTCTAAAGTTTATATGGAGAGGCACCCAGAGTAGAAAACATAATATTGAAAAAGAACAAAGTTGTATGACTGATATATACCTGACTTCAAGACTTACTATAAAGCTACAATAGTCCAGACACTGTAGTGTTGGTAAAAGAATAAATACATCAGTAGAACAGAATATAGAGCCCTGATACTTTTTTTTTGTTGTTGTTACCATGCAACAAAACCTTTATTAACATTTTGAACAGGTTCAGCTATTACTGAAACTTGTAACTTCTAAACTTAAGTTGGGGCAAATGGCTATAGTGCAGAGTATTGCCATCACCGGGCACTGCGAATGCAAGACTGAAGAATTAACAGCCACCCCTCAGACGCAGGACCAGGTCTTCCAGCTGCTTGCCTGCAAAGATGAGCCTCTGCTGGTCGGGGGGGATGCCTTCCTTATCCTGGATCTTGGCCTTCACATTTTTGATGGTGTCACTGGGCTCCACCTCCAGGGTAATGGTCTTGCCAGTGAGGGTCTTCACAATGTGAGTTGTCTCTCAAAGCACAGTAGTAAATGACCGTAATCTTTGCCCTGATACGTTGGGTGTAAATAGAAGCACAGCTGGGGATTGAGCATGGCCAGGTGCATTGGAGCTTGGTAGCTCTCCTATCTAGAATAAGCCACCAAGACTGAACTCACCGATCACCATCTTCCCATTTACCTCATTCGCATTCCATTTCTCTCATTCAGTATTAGCTGATGATTTCTCCTCTTAAGTGATGAGAAAGTCAGCAGGCTAGTCAAAAAAGAATCTTTATATAAAGTGTACATATTAATATAAAGTAACAGCATGCAACTTATGGATCAATGGATCCTGGGACCAACCTCCAGGAGTTTTTTTTTTTTTTTTTTAAAAAAAAAAAAAAGTTGTAAGGGTGGGCCTTGTCTCAGTTAGCAGACCTTGACCATGTGGGGGACCAGCTCTTTGTTGTCTACAGCCAGAGACCTTGGAAACAGCTGCTCCCAGCCCCCTGTTCTTGTAACACCCTTGATCCTGGACCAGGCCCTGGTGGAATGCGTTCACAAGCACATCTGCCTTTCCTTTTGTATCTCAGATACTATTTTTGCAAAGAAACTTCAGTGCTGTGAAAGGGGTGAGGGACATCCCTAAGCTGAAGAGAGAGACTGCTTTTCACTTCTTCAGTTCTGCCATCTTGTTTTCAAAGGGCTCCAGCCCCACTCAGTCCCGAATTATGGGACTGAGAAAAGCTTGGAAAGAATCTTGGTTTCATATAAGCTCTTGTTGTTAGGCCTTACTAAGAAGTAGGAAAGGACATGGGCAAAAGATAGGGATAAAAACCACCAGCATATACATGGACACACGGACACACACACACACACACACACACACACACACACAGTTTTCAAGATGTATAGTCAGGAATGTGACTGTAAACTGGACTTTGGGGCACATGCATAAGTCCACTCCTCCAGGACCTTTCCCATTTATATGTCCCTATATGAAATCCATCTGCTTCTATACATAGCTGTTTTATCATCTGTAGCTTCATCCTATCCAGAGGCACAGCACATGAGCTCTGGACAGGTCCCAAAGTTCCAAGCAGTCCTTTCCTTAAAAGCAGGGGGTTGCATGTGCTACCAACACATGATATGGGGAAGACCCACCCAGGGAGCGGTTTCAGTGGCACAACAAAGCACCACTTTTACTGTTGCCTACTTCTGACCAAGAAGAAAAAGGTCCTTAGTCTTTAGCATAAAATTCCAGCGTTGGATGAATGCAGGTCATTTGGTCTGTGGCTAGCTAGTTTAAATATGTTTCTAACCACAGAGAATTTCATATATATACATATATATACACATACACACATATATATGTATAAAATTTCACAGGGATATGCTTTAAAAAAAAAAAAGACTGAATGTGTTCATTTAGCCTGTAGATTTATTTCCATTTTCCAATTTGCAGCACACAGAGATCCCAACCCCTATGTGTAGGTTGTTTGTGGACTACCTAATGGAATATTTTGAGGCCTGGATGAACTTTGCCATATGGGTAGAGGTTACAGAGGGAGGTGATATTTTCAGCTAAAAAAAAGCAGGTGGAGTTTGGACTGATCAACTTGAGATTTAAAGACTTCGATTCCTTTTGTTCTTTCTAGCATCTCTCCCCACCCTCTGAGAGCTCCTCAGGCTTAGATAGTGAAGTGATCCAATGCCAATATCATTTTGTACTTAAGTTCCAAAGTAGGAACATTTTATACTTTTTTCTGTATTGTAATAGGTAGTTTTGTATGAAATCTTTTCTCCCCTCCCCTTGTACCCCATTCTTTCCAGCATTGTGCTTTTTCCTGGGCTTATTTGAAAATTTTGCTGTTTTATACAAGCTCGTTTAGTGCATTTCTCTATGTTTTACCACAAGTAACAATTTGAAAAGAAAACTATTTTTTTTTAATAAAAAGAAAAAAAAAGCCACTAGCAGAGTGGCTTTTTTTTTTCCTTCCAAGATTGTATTAAGAAATTAATGTAGCTGAATCACAACCTATATACTTTCCAGGTTAATATGAAAAGTTGATAATTTTTCTTTGAAACTTACAAGTAGAATCTGCAAATACATAATTTTGAGAATAATTTAATATGTTGCCTTGAAGATACAACTATATTGTATCTAATATACAACTCTATATGTCAGTATTTTAAAGAAATGGATCCTTACAAGACCAAAATAACCCAGAGGCCATGAGAGTGGTTTTTCCTTTTTTGTTGTTGTTTAAACAAATGTGCACCATGATTTGTTTTTGTGTCACCCCGGTGCGCGTCTACAGCCCATACCAAGAGTACTATGAGGTGGTGCCTCCCAACGCACATGAGGCCACCTATGTCCTCAACTACCACGGGTTGCCTTACGCAGGCCCCGGTGTGACACACGTCATAGTGCGAGAGGATCCCTGCTACAGCGCTGGCGCCCCTCTGGCAATGGGCATGCTTGCGGGAGCCGACACTGGGGCAGTGCTTGGTTCGCTCATGTGGTCGCCCTGCTGGTTCTGAGCCCTGGGACTCGGAGCACTGGCCCCTGCACTTAGACTGCAAGACCCCTCTTCCTCCTGGATCTCACCTTCCACCATCCAAGCCCTGTCCCACTTTGGCCCTATTCTCTCCATTATTTCCTTCCAGATTTGGACCATTCCGCCGACTCCCTACCCTCACTTCTCACATGGGAAGAAGCTATCATCCCAGGTACAATCATAGCTTGAAGTCTCCACATCTACTGCCAGACACCCCCAGAATCTGTTATAGACATTTATCGATGCATTTCTTCTAAACACACTAGGGCACAGCAAATACGACTTCATTTGGCCTGGAGTACCCCAGGCGCTGTCGACGCGACATGAATCCGGCTCTCATGGCTCTCTGCTCTCTCCTCAGGGAGCTTAAGGCCTGGTAGGGAGAACAGGAGTAAACAAGCACTTGACAAAGCTGCAGAGTTATCAGTCCTTTGACAAGAACAGGTGGGGCAGGGAGCAAGGCAGGTAGGCTGGAAAAAACGGTTATTGGCAAGTGTGCAGAGCCATGAACGTCATCACATGTCAAAGGAATTAAATGCGAGTTTAATTACACACACCTTCAATGAGATGATACGGATAAGGAAGGAAAACTTAAATTTTCTATATTCAATTGGATGACTGTTAATATTTAATGTTACTTATGAAGAAATCCTACAATATTCTTCTTTCTAAAGTCCACAACAGCTAGACACCAGTGTACTCCCAGGTGAATGGGCACCAAAAGAATGTCAACAGAAAATACATCTACTTTCTTTGTCCAACGTTTCACTGCCTGATAACCAGCCGTTTTTAATTTAGTGAAGAAAAAGGTAACTTTTTTCTGTGGGTGTGGTCATCTACAAGCCACGAAGAGAAGGATCATCAGAAACCAAACCTGTCGGGGCCCCGTGCCCAGCTCTTTGCCTGCCTGCTCAGGCTGGGCACTCAGCAGGTCAGCCCCCTTCAGCTTCACACAGGGGTCAGCCACGCAGCCAGGAACCATTATGAGGTGCTGGTGCTGGGTGGGGGCAGTGGTGGGATCACCATGGCCGCCCGCATGAAGAGGAAAGTGGGTGCAGAGAATGTGGCCGTTGTTGAGCCCAGTGAGAGACATTTCTACTAGCCAATCTGGACACTAGTGGGTGCTGGTGCCAAACAACTGTCCTCCTCTGGCCGCCCACTGCGAGTGTGATACCATCTGGTATAGAGTGGATCAAAGCTAGAGTGGTTGAGTTGAACCCAGACAAGAGCTGCATTCACACAGACAACGGCAAGGAGATCTCCTACCGATATCTTATTATTGCCCTCGGAATCCAGCCGGACTATGAGAAGATTAAAGGCTTACCTGAAGGTTTTGCTCATCCCAAAATAGGGTCAAATTATTCAGTTAAGACTGTAGAGAAGACATGGAAAGCTCTGCAGGATTTCAAAGAGGGCAATGCTGTCTTTACCTTCCCAAATACTCCAGTGGAATGTGCTGGAGCCCCTCAGAAGATCATGTATTTATCAGAAGCCTACTTCAGGGAGACAGGGAAGCGATCCAAGGCCAATATCATTTTCAACACTTCTCTTGGAGCCATTTTCGGGGTTAAGAAGTATGCAGATGCCCTGCAGGAGATCATCCGGGAGCGGAACCTCACTGTTAACTACAAGCAAAACCTCATTGAAGTCCGAGCCAATAAACAGGAGGCTGTATTTGAAAACCTGGACAAACCTGAAGAGACCCAAGTGATTTCATATGAAATGCTTCATGTCACACCACCAATGAGCCTACCAGACGTCCTCAAGACCAGTCCTGTGGCTGATGCTGCTGGCTGGGTGGATGTGGATAAAGAAACTCTGCAACACAAGAGGTACCCAAACGTGTTTGGGATTGGGGACTGCACCAACCTTCCTACATCCAAGACTGCTGCTGCAGTAGCTGCCCAGTCAGGAATACTTGATAGAACAATTTCTCTGATTATGAAGAATCAAACACCAACAAAGAAGTATGATGGCTACACATTATGTCCACTGGTGACCGGCTACAACTGTATGATTCTTGCTGAGTTTGACTACAAAGCGGAGCCGCTAGAAACCTTACCTGTTGATCAAAGCAAAGAGCGCCTTTCCATGTACCTCATGAAAGCTGACCTGATGCCTCTCCTGTATTGGAATATGATGCTAAGGGGTTACTGGGGAGGACCAGCGTTTCTGTGCAAGTTGTTTCATCTGGGTATGAGTTAAGGATGGCTCAGCACTTGCTCATCTTGGATGGCTTCTGGGCCAAGACTGCAGTCACTGAATGACCAAGAGCAGCATGAGGACTTGGCACCTATCCCTGTAAAGAGATTCTTTATGGATAATGGTGACCAAATACCTCCCTTTCCAGTAACTTTGAACAGCCACTATGTGGGCTCCTCATGATGGGTTCGATTCTTTGGGAATAATAAAATGAAAGAATAGACAAAAAAAAAAAAAATCCGCAGGGGCAAGCCTGGCCCCTCCAGAACAGGTGCCTGATGTCCTTGGAAACCTCCTCCTCCTCCTCCTCCCCCTCCCATTCACCCCCCAGAGTCTTCCAGTGGTGGGCTCATAAATAGAAGTGCTTGAGTCGCACAAGGAGGGCCACTCCCTAGAGCTCCTGCACCCCTTGTAGTGTTGCTGTGGGTGGAGGGGGGCCCCAGAATGGCCCCTACCCCTGGCATCTTGGGCCTCAGGAAGGCTGGGGGGAAGGTGAGCAGATTCTCATGGCTCTGGCCTCAGCTCATCACAGACCGACCGGAAAAAGGGAACTAAAGTGTCACAGTGTCTCCTGTCCAGATTCCTGACTGGCTTCCAGAAGCAGCTCCTCGAGCTCCTTCTTGTTCTTGGAGCAGCTCAGCTCGTGCTCCAGGCCGCAGCTGCCCTACTTGGCCTCAGGCCCTGGGGGTGGCTCTGGGTGCAAAAGGTATGTGAGATGTTAATCCTCTCATCATCATTGTCAATCAGTTTATAAAAGTTTTGTGGGGTCTCTTCCCCCAGCGAATACCCCCCAAAAAACAAGTAACTAGTTACTGTTATCTGTAAACAGTAACTAGTTTATTTTGTGTTAAAGTGGGAAGAACCTCTTTCTTCTGCCACTGGTGAGATGATACTAAAAGTAAGAGAAAATAACAAATGGAAGAGGCCTTCTTTTCTCCACGTGTCTCAAGGCAGAGTAGAGATTGGCGAAAAGGGGACAGGAAGAGGAATCCAGCTGAAGATTGGAGGGTTAACAAAAGTGTCAGCAGGCATATCCTTAGAGAGTGTTTCTGAGTCACTCCCGGGATGACCTTATTTTTCTTAGTTACATTTGCTAGCTGCACAGTAACCTATAGCACAGCAAAAGCACAAGGAATCACCGTTTGCTTTCATTTCAGTGCAATTATTGGTAGCAAAACCTATCTGAAGAATTACTTTTAATTAAAAGGAGGTTATTTTTAGGGGACCAGAAATTACTTAGCTGTATTCACTTATGAGTTGAGCAGTTAATTTTTTTTTTTTTTTTTTGCAGAGTAAAGCTTTATGTGAAATTCTGTAAATGTGTATAGAGCTGCCCATGGCCCCCTGTGCTGGAGGCCTTGTCTGTGGAGATGCTGAGGCTCAGCACTTGCTGTAGATGGCCATGCTGCCCTGCTCCTGAAACTCTTCCTTGCTGACTCAGAGCTGTTGGAAGGCCTGCAGGGAGGCCAGGATGGAGCCGCTGGTCCACACAGAGGTCTTCCTTTCAGGACTGGCAGCCACCACAGGGCTGTCCCCAGGGCAGAGGAGGCTCAGCTCCCTCTGGAAGTGCTCGGGGAAGCCATCCAGCATGGTGCAGCCACCACACAGCAGCACATTGGTGACCATCGTCTCCTTGAAGCCCGTGTCCTGGAAGCAGCCCAGGCAGGCGGCCGTGAGCTCCGGGAGGCCAGGCTGGGTGCTGCCTGCCAGGGAGGGCTTGAAGAGCGTCTCAGAGCAGCAGAAATGCTCCTGGCTGATGGTGATGAGCTTGCCGTCCGGGAGCTCATAGTCCACGCGCAGCTCCTCCTGAAGCAGGGCAAGCTCCTCCTCGGGCAGCAAGGCCACATAGCAGCACTTCTTCTTGATGTGCTCTATGATGTGCAGGTGGTCATCAGTGAATGCGTGGCCCGCCTCATTGAGCAGCTGCATCAGGTAGTTGGTGAGGTCACCCCCAGCGTAGTCCGCGTGGCTGGTCAGGCCTGGCAGCACGTTGCCCTCGGAGATGGGCACCACATGCGAGACGCCGTGCCCGCTCTCCACCACGAGCCCTGAGGTCTTGCCATAGGAGTAGATGGACAGCAGCAACTGGGACGTCACGTGCATGGCGGGGATGCCGAAGGCCTCCAACATGAGCTCCGTGTACTTCTCCCGGTTGCTGCTGGGGCTGAGCAGAGGGTCCGAGACCAGCACAGCGTGCTTCTCGGGGACGATCTTCATGGCCATGCGGAAGATGTACTCCCAGATGTCCTGCACGCAGTCCCAGTCCACCACAACGCTGTGCTTCAGCGGGTTCACCAGCTTGAGAGGCGCCTCTGTGCTCAGCAGCTCATGGCCCACCAAGGTCTCCTTGCCAGTGTCACTGGCGTCAGCCGCCTCGGGGCAGCGTTTGCCCACGGTGGAGGAGATGACGTAGGTGGGCCTCGGCTCTCCCGCGTAGCCGCACTTGCAGTACTCTTTTTTTTTTTTTTTTTTTTTTTAAGCTTTGCTTTTCTTCATTCAACTCATGTCAGGGCTCAGCACAGCAAAGCGTTGTGCCTGCCTCCCAGGACTTCTCAGGTGGCCACCTCCGCTGCCAGGCGGTACAGGTCCTCAGCTTTCTGGGGCCCTTGTTCCGTGAACTCCGTGCTCAGCTGCCACACCTTCACTGTGCCCTGGGCATCACCCGCAGCCAAGAGCTGAGTCTGCTGGCTGTTGAACTCCAGACAGTAGACAGGGCTTTCATCCTGGGTTTGCTTGATGGAAACTGTGGGTTTCTGAGAGCTTTTTTCCCTCAAGCTTCTCCTAAAGAAGGATATGAAGGGAACTTCACTTGTGGCAGGTACCTGAGTGTTCAGTGCTGGTCACATGTAAAAAATAATAATAATAAATAAAAAAAATAAAAACTTCCACCTGCGGTCTTCTTAAGCAACAGGCTCTTCCACAAGACAGTCTACCTGCAGTCTGCCCTGAGCAGCTCCACTTCTGCAGAGAAGTTCCCTTCACTGCATCCATCTCCTGCCAAACTGAAGGCTGCTGCAGGCCACTGAGTTGCCTGCCATCCAAAGGGGATGGGCGGGATTGGAAGGAGGCTGTAGCAGCTCTTTCCTTGTTCACCTCCCCCTGCTAGGGAAGGCAGGACCCACTCTGCCAAGGGCCCTCTGCATATTCCCTTCTCTCTGAGGAATTGGAGTTTTTGTCTCTGGTCCACGTAAGGCAGAATGTTTCCGACACCAGTGTGTGGATTTTTAACATCACCGTGAGTCTGAAAGGACCACAGGTTTTTCTGCAGCTATTTTCTAGCATTTGCCAGTCCTTGTGCCTGGACTGATTTGAATACTTTGTTTTTCTCCCTGTGCCATTTACCCTCCCACCTTTCCATCCTGCCTTATACCACCCTTGGATGAATGGATTTTGTAACGTGGAGGGGTAACCTACCCTGTGGCCAGATGCCAAATATTTGAGAGAAGGGAACTTTTGCCGAGGTTTTCTCTGAGATGTTTTGATGCTTTATAGGAAACTATTTTTTTAAAAGCCATTTCCCACCCCAGGACACGCTGGATGTGTTTTCTCTGACTCCAGCAGGGCAGGGAATGTGGCTGAGAAGTGGGGTGGGCTGGGCTCTGGTGCCCTCTTCCCTGGCCAGGCCACCCTCCTCCTCATTCCCTTGGCGCCTTGCCTGTCTGTCCACCCATCCCCCTGCCTGCCCACTGTACCTCGTGCGGCTCACTGTGACTTCCACCTGGGGGCTGAGACCACCCTTGCCCGCCTCCTTCTTCCTGCCTAAAGAATGCCCTTTTAGGTTGGGCATGGTGGCTCATGCCTGTAACCCCAGCACTTTGGGAGGCCGAGGTGGGTGGATCGCCTGAGGTCAGGAGTTTGAGACCAGCCTGGCCAACATGGCAAAACCACATCTCTACTAAAAATACAAAAGCTAGCCGGGTGTGGTGGCAGATGCCTGTAATCCCAGCTTTTCGGGAGGCTGAGGCAGGAGAGTTGCCTGAACCTGGGAGGTGGAGGATGCAGTGAGCCGAGATCATGCCACTGCACTCCAGCCTGAACGACAGAGTGAGACTCAAATACAAAAAAGAATGCCTTTTCACTGTCATGATCATTCCTCTTTGAGGGCATGCTGGAGTGGGGAAAGACGTCTCAGACCATAGAGGTCCCAAGACCCTTGAGATCATTGAGCCCAGCCCTGATGTTTCAGAGCAGAAGGCGGAGAGGGGAGGGGCTTGCCCACATCACACAGCAGGTGCTGCAAAACCAGGACTGTCAGCCTCCTCCACGTGCCTCTCTGCCACTCCCAGGGATGGGGGCCTGTAAAACAGGTCTCTTAAGAGTGGATCTGGCTCCCTCACCAGCCCTCAGCCCTGGGGGCCGCCAGGTGGGAAGAGCGCTTCTGCCTGGGTCCATGCCTTGGCATGGTAGACAGGATGTAGGGCTTTTTCTGGCCCCTGACCCCTCCCTGGCACGGGAGCCTGGGGAAGGGGCTGGCTGTGGCAGGAGCGACAGGGGCATCACCTCTTTCTGCTGCTTCTCCCCACCCCTGCCCTCAGGGGCCTGGGGGCTGCCCAGCTGCCTCTGTGCCCTTCGGGGGTCTCAGCCCACTGCTGACACTTCTGCAATCCAGAGAAACACTAAATAAAGCAATATGTGTTTGCCAAAAAAAAAAAAAAAAAAAAAAAAAAATCCAGGAAGCGTGGACTATGCCCTTTGCCTTCTGTACGAGAGAGAAGCTTCCTTGGACAGAATTTGCTGAGTCAGCAGAAGACCGGCCCACCACCAAATTCTGTCAGAAGCTGGCGAAGAGCCATAACATGGTGGTGGTGTCTCCCATCCTGGAATGAGACAGCGAGCATGGGGACGTTTTATGGAATACAGCCGTGGTGATCTCCAATTCTGGAGCAGTCCTGGGAAAGACTAGGAAGAACCACATCCCCAGAGTGGGTGATTTCAACGAGTCCACTTACTACATGGAGGGAAACCTGGGCCACCCCGTGTTCCAGACACAGTTTGGAAGGATCGCGGTGAACATTTGCTACGGGCGACACCACCCCCTCAACTGGCTGATGTACAGCATCAATGGGGCTGAGATCATCTTCAACCCCTCAGCCACCATTGGAGCACTCAGTGAGTCCATAGGGCCCATTGAGGCCAGAAACGCAGCCAGAGTGCGTTTTTTTTTTAATACTTCATAATAAAACACTTTTATTGCTGCAGAATGTTAAATTGCAGAACAGGCACCAGATGGTCAAGACTAGGGTAATTTGAGAAGACAAATGATGTGAGGATTAGTATCTGAGAGTCACCTGGTCTTGAATTATGTCATAGGCTACTATGCACCAGAATCACATGGAAGGGTTACTAGAACAGACTGCTAGCTGCCCCCGCCCCCGCCCCCCACCAAGGTTTCTGAGTTCACAGGTTTTAAGAGGCAAGTTGAACAATTCCCCAGGTGATGCTGATGCTCATGGTCCAAAAAAAAGAAAAAAAAAAGAACAGTCATTCTTGCCTTACTTGTGCCCTTGAGGGCAGTTGTGAGAAAAGCCAAGGTCTCGAGGCGCGGTGTGGGGGCGGGGCCCACCCTGGCGGGGCCCACCCCGCTGCTTTCTGCGTCTGCCTCGGTGAGGGCGAGCGCGCGCAGACCCCGCACAGGCAGCGGAGCCAGTATGGGCCCACCCGGCTCTGGGTGCCGCGCCGGACAAGCACCAGCCTAGAACCAGGATTGAAGCTTCAAAATGACTGACCAGGACCCTGGGGGCATCAGCCCCCTCCAGCAAATGGTGGCCTCAGGCGCTGGGGCGGTGGTCACCTCCCTCTTCATGACATCCCTGGACGTGGTGAAGGTTCGCCTGCAGTCTCAGCGGCCTTCCGTGCCTAGCGAGCTGACGCCTTCCTCCAGACTGTGGAGCCTCCCCTATGCCAAATGGAAGTGCCTCCGGTACTGCAATGGTGTTCTGGAGCCCCTGTACCTGTGCCCAAATGGTGACTGCTGTGCCACCTGGTTTCAAGACCCTACCCACTTCACTGGCACCATGGACGCCTTCGTGAAGATCGTGAGGCAAGAGGGCACCCGGACCCTCTGAAGCGGCCTCCCCACCACCCTGGTGATGACTGTGCCAGCTACTGCCATCTACTTCACTGCTTATGACCAACTCAAGACCTTCCTGTGTGGTCGAGCCCTGACCTCTGACCTCTACACACCCATGGTGGCTGGCGCGCTGGCCCGCTTGGGCACCGTGACTGTGATCAGCCCCCTGGAGCTCATGCGGACAAAGCTGCAGGCTCAGCACATGTCGTACCGGGAGCTGGGTGCCTGTGTTCGAACTGCCGTGGCTCAGGGTGGCTGGCACTCGCTGTGGCTGGGCTGGGGTCCCACTGCCCTTCGAGATGTGCCCTTCTCAGCCCTATACTGGTTCAACTATGAGCTGGTGAAGAGATGGTTGAATGGGCTCAGGCCAAAGGACCAGACTTCTGTGGGCATGAGCTTTGTGGCTGGTGGCATCTCAGGGATGCTGACTCTACCCTTTGATGTGGTGAAGACCCAACGCCAGGTTGCACTGGAAGTGATGGAGGCTGTGAGAGTGACACCCCTGCACGTGGACTCCACCTGGCTGCTGCTGCAGAGGATCCGGGCCGAGTCAGGCACCAGGGGACTCTTTGCAGGCTTCCTTCCTCGGATCACAAGGCTGCCCCCTCCTGCGCCATCATGATCAGCACCTATGAGTTCGGCAAAAGCTTCTTCCAGAGGCTTGACCAGGACCGGCTTCTGCGCGCCTGAAAGGGGCAAGGAAGCAAGGACCCCGGCTAGGACCCCGGTTCTCCATGGATGGGGAGAGGGCACGAGGAGACCCAGCCAAGTGCCTTTTCCCCAGCACTGAGGGAGGGGGCTTCTTTCCCTTCCCTCCTGGTGACAAGCCCAAGGGCAGAGCTGCCCCTCTGGGTGGCCCTGGCCTTCCTCAGATGCAGCTTCTTCCTGCTGTTCCAGTCGTGGGGATCATGACTTTCCCACCCCCCAAGTTCAAGACCAAATCTTCCCGCTGCCCCCTTCGTGTTTACCTGTGTTTGCTGTAGCTGGGCCTGGTTCCAGGAGCCAAGAAACCGTCAGCCTGGTGTAGTCTCCCTGACCCTTGTTAATTCGTAAGTCTAAAAAAAAAAAAGAAGAAAAAAAAATATGTATGTGACCTCTTAAAAGAGGCAACTAGTCCCCACCCAAGAGGACTTATCCTTATGGACAGACCACAGGAAAGGGGAATGTGACCCTGAAGGAGCTGAATGCTCACCCCATGGAAGTATTCATGTGCAGTGTCCTCAAGAGGCAAGGCTATGGCGAGGGTTTCCGCTGGCTCTCCCAGTATATTGACTGATGTTTGGACAGTGAAAATAAAAGAGTTTTACTTCTCAAAAAAAAAAAAAAAAAAGGGCGAGCGGGCAGGCGGGCATGGCGGGTTCTGGGCCAGCCCCGGGGCGGACAGTTGGCCGGGCATGCGGAGCCTCTCTGGGGCCGCGTCACCACTG